GATACAACATTTCAGCGCCTAAAAGTAGTAAAAAAGACGGTAAAAGGACACGACAATGTTATACGGACCTTTTCCGTATGAAAGCTGTTCGATACGTGGTGCCGTATCACGTATGAGAAATGCACACACATTGATGACGTCACACGCAAAATCCATACGGATACGCGATGCGGACCAGAAATTTACGCTTGCCAAAAGTCTCCAATACAACCTATACATACAGAGCGTTAAAACATATTTTATGAATACATTTATGAAAATACTTACAATCTGATTAACGTTTGATGAATAACAATACACTTTACAGATCTTATAAATAATGGAAATTAGATATACATGACACGTAATATACCAAAGTTTACAAAATATGATTTTTCATATTATGGTTAATATATTGAAATGAATACTATAACATGATAATTATTAGGAATGATTATATATGTATACGATTATTTATCGTTGCATTTGCAAACAGAAATAATCCGTAAATTCCGGGTCATTCCACCGTTTATACCGTAACATAACAGAATTAAGTCCATTGTAGAATGGAATAAAACAATTTATCCCCAAATTTCACGGAAATTCCTGGTCATTCCACCGTTTATTCCGTAAAATAACAGAATTGAGTCCATTATAGAAGGGAATAAAACATGTTATCCCTAAATTTCACGGAAATTTCCTGTTTAATACTGAATATTCCATAGAAATACATAAAACACGTAATTTGAAAAAATAAGTCACATTTTTGACACAATTTCTCCAAAAAAAAAGCCATCGATTAACAGAAAAACAGTGTCAAACTACGGAATTCGGCCACATAAAAAATGGGTATTTTTTACAGTGTACACTGTATCGAAATATTGATATTTGTTTGCACAAGTATCAATTTTTGGCACTTAAGGCTCTACATCCACAGTTGACGGCGCTTGTTTTGTAAATTTTGAAGGTGAATAAAATCAGAACACCAAAGTCGAGGACTCGAGGCATAGAAGTTTCAAAACTTGCAAAAGGGTACACCGATTCAAAAGGCCATAATATTAATGCTATAGAGTCATATAACTTTGCAGTTTTACATAAGTTTATATGTACATGTACTATAACATATATGTTTTTCATAATTTTCTGAGGGGGTCAACTGACAACTTTCTGAGAATTTGGCCCACATCTGATACGATATTTCAGATTCCGAAGTTAACCCAGAAGGATCGTTACGTACGGGTTTGGTTTATAAGGTCCATGGTAAATAAGACTTATGGATGTTTCATCCCCGTACCGTGTTATTGTTCCTGGGGATCAAAGAGAATTGCCAACGAGGCAACTGCCGGCTAAACAATTGCCGACGAGGACAGGTGCTTGTAGGACAATTACCGACTATTTATTTGTCACTGCTGCAATCGTTAATCTACAAGAAGAAACTGTTGCACAGCTTCCACTTCCTGGGTACCCACTACCTTTACTATTGACTCCACAGGCAATGGAAATACCAGATCAATACAAAGAAACATTTTATGAAGAACCTTTCATTCTGTGTGACAGTGGTACAAACGATCCAGCTTAAGGGATCTTAAACCAACCGGTAATTATCGGTTGGCTATGTAAACTGCTCAAATGGGAAATGGTATTAGGTGTTATAGAGAGAGTAAGTATACCCTGCACATGGATCTTTAAAAAAACTTTCAGATTATGCTTCTATTTGACCAGAACTGACAATTTAGACGGTGTATAATTTATTTATTTTATTTTATTTTTTATAGCAGGCGTCTCATGTACATTATTAACTAAATAAAATACTTCTTCATACTTCTTAAATATCGCCCTTCCGGATAGTATAGACCGGAAACGCGCGAGGGTTTTATGTGGAAGGAACCATAAAGAAAGATAAATAAAAACACTGTAGTGACTACGAATTGGTTTGACAAAATGGACAGGCGACTAAATATATCCTTATGGGGTAAAGTACTGGTTTTCAACATTTGGTACACTGTTATCGAGTGGCTTAGTTTTTATGACTACCATAGAAACATTTTCTCTCCCTTTAGCATGAAAGGGAAATATTGACGAGTTACTGGGTTGTAAATAGTCTTCTATAGAGAACAGGGAAGTTGTGACAATAGACTAACAATGAAAAGCTGGACTCGTCTGAAATCCCGGTCTTCCTTTCTTTAACGACAAATATTGGTGATGTTCCCACAGGTTCACATCTATGGTTAAGTTTGTGTTTAATTAACACACGGTGACAAATATGCTGATGAACTGACAAAACTCTTCCCCGGTACCATTGGAGATAGTGAGATAGAGAGACAGAGAGGGTGGGGGGGACACGTGTTATATGTGACAAGATGATAAAATTTGAATTTAAGAAAATGGCTGATACTTACCCGATTCTATTTATATCAAGCCACATGGGTCCGATATAGATTTATAACTATATTTGGTAATGCTCGATAAAACAGTTTAGAAATAAAAGAAGAAATAACCTAAAACACCAAATATTAAACATTAAAAAGCTATGTCCAGTAGGGCGATTACTTCAAGTTATATCAGGAACAATAATTGTCAATCGTCGTACGTTTCTGTATTTCGATAGGAATATAAATAATTAAATTGTCTTTGATTTAATATACGTGTGTCAATACGATGGAGCAATGGCTATATATGACTGACGGTTAACAAAAGCAACATTTCCGAGTATGGTCAAACTACAAATCAGACTGTGAAAAAATATGAATCTCTCAGCCACAGTCCTTAATGCAAGCTCTAAAACAATGTGGTTTCTATTTGAATAATTGCCTAGATCTTTTTTTTGCGATTTTGGGAAAAATGGTCTTAATCTTAAAACTCATAAAATATGCAGGCCCGGTGGAGTGGGAGGGACTAGGGGCCGGGTGCCCCGCCTCAATAATTTGGCCACAAATACTCCTTTCACCGGGTTATTGTACGTGAGATCAATAACATAACTGGAAGAGGCCTGATTTTAACATAGTACTCCTTTCACCGGGTTATTGTACGTGAGATCAATAACATAACTGGAAGAGGCCTGATTTTAACATAGTAGTGCGACTTTACTGGTCCCTGGGTTAAGAGCCCCAAGTTGCGATGGTCGCAACTGAACAGTCAGTCCTTATTTCAAGTCCACCCCACTTCCGTTGTATCTATGACAGATTAGGTAATTAAAAGAAAACGACGGGAATAGAGTTTTTATCACATTCTTTCCTTGTGTCCCTTATCCACCAAATAATTCACTGTTATCAGTTTTGTCAGTTAAAAACAGAGGTCACCATGCAAGATACACCACATTTGCAAAATATGGGTGGAGAAGAGATAAAATCCATAGGACTCATCCTCTCATTCAAGATCTTTTGATCATTAACACATTTGTTAAGTTCATCTGAAAGGGACAATATTGTAGCCCCTAGAGGGCCTACAAACTTCATACATATTTGACATTTTGCGCATAAAGCAGGGGCTATAGCTCAAGAAAAGGATGTCTGATGCGTACTCAAGATGAACTCATCCAAGAACTTTTGATCGTTAATACATAGTTTAATTTTCATCTCTTGAATCGGTCGAAAACTGTCGCCTCGGACAGACCACAAAATTCACTCATAATTCATATTTTGCGTAAACGGCGCAGTGGAGGGGGGGGGGGGGGGCATAACACCAGAACTCATCCAAGAACTAGTGATATTTAACACTCGTTTTAAGGTTCATCTAAATCGGATAAAAAATGTTGTCTCTAGAAGGGCCACCAAAACTTAAAAACGTGATTTTTCGTACAATAAGGAGCCATCCAGATACGATCCGATATGCGCCAATATCGAAAGGAACCCAGATCTTTCGAATAAAATCATATAGTTTAAGTTTCATCAAAATCGGATAAAAATTCTGACCTTTATTTGAGTAAAGGGGGTGGCCATTTTGTCTGCCAGTTTTGGTACGATTTTCACTAAATGTTATAATGTAACGATGTTTACAGTCAAATATAAATTGTGAGATCTAGAGCCATAATCTTAGAAGTTACGGTCCGATACGCGTCAATATCGAAAAGAACCGACTTCTATCGCTCATAAACATACATTGCAAGTTTCATCAAAATCGGAATATATTGTGACCTCTAGAGATCCACAACCTTGGTATTATTATTTGTCCAGTTCAGCATCACAGGAAACCCCATCGACTGTGTTTCATGGTAAGGAATTTAGAAAAGAATTAGAAGTTCACTTCATTGCTAAGTAATTTTTATTAGCCTGAATCGCTCAGAAAGCGTCTTCGACGATCTACATGTAGATTCGCTGGAGCTTCCGGAGTCTACGCGGCCCCGGACCACTCCTACAGCCCTGGGATGGTAGCAGGCCTGGAAATAACGGTTTTAGATGTACCTGACAAAATGTCAGGCACTAATGAAATATTACCTGACATTTTCAACTTAGTGCCGGACATGTATTAATAATATCAATAATAAAAGACAATCAATACCGGACAGGCACCCGAGGTTTTGTGCCTGACAAAGCCTGAATCTGTGACTGACATTGTCTGTAACAGGTGCCTTATTTCCAGGCTTGGATGGTAGCCCGCCAAATCAAGAACTGCTTCCGCCGGCTCAGATGTATTCGCCATGCGTGGAGTATTTTGTTTGTTTGTTTCCTTGCGGTTTTTTTTTCGTTTGAATTTCATCAGTTGGAAAGTTTGAATCGGGCTGGTTCTTAAAACCTGTTTGGCACATGCGTGTTTACCTTGTTTAAGCCCCTGCCCGAGCCTGCAAATAGCTACGAAAGAGAAAGATTTTGCCGGAATACTTGATAAGGTCTATGATTGTAGTTCTTTAGGGCTTTTTATTAAAAATTTTAAGACATTGTAAATTCTAGGTCTAATTTATTTCAATATCTTTTTGTTTGGATTTAGTTGGCGATTTTGATCAAGATTACGTTGGATTAGGCGTTGAGTCGCTTGAATAAAATTAAAATTACTATATTGTTACCCCCCTTGTTTGTCCCCAGTTGTCTCCCTTATATGGTTTTGAATGTTAGAGTCCATATAGTTGTACATAGGGTCAGGTGTCAAATCGGTTTGGTTTATTTTTTTATTTTTGAACGTAAACATAGTAAAAGTCAGAGAGTACGACACCTATCTTAGTTTTAGGGCACACATAGAGTTAACCTTATTGAAATAACGTTGATTAACCCAGTGACATTTCATTTTAGTTGTGAAAGAACAAAAAACAGAAAAAAGACCACCCACTTCAGCTTGTGTGACTGACTGGCAATGTTCGTCTTCAAACTTCATACTAATACTTATTAATAGATATACATCTCATCATCCTAATGTGTGACTAGTGCCAACAAGTTCAATAATTATTCCAGTACTTTTTACTATTTGCTCACACACATATGCTGAAAGAGAAAGACTTTTATTAATTTTGAACTAACCATTCTTTTTACATTATAAATACCATACCATGTACATAAAATGAAATGAATATCGGAAATATATCGGTAATGAAAGTGAAATAATGAAGCCAACAATGGGAAGAATAACCTGGAAAATTAATAAACTGCCGTCCATGGTAGGAAGTTATTTTAAAAACAAGAAGGATCAGCTTGTTTTGACATACAGAAGTTTGTTTTATAATGAATATACCTCACTTAATACTCTCATTGATACAATGATGGAACCATTGTTCTGGTGTGTGGATCACTTTGCAAGATATTTAGGACCTGTAAGTATAGCATTTTCATCGTTATTATTAAACTGGTCCAGCAGTGAATCCTTATCATTGACAGTAAAAATCTCTTTGTATATTTAGGGAAGGGTTAGCATTTTAATATTTATGGTCGATTTGGGTTTTAATAATAGGAAGTGTCAAAAGTTACTTTTAACAATGACAATGCAGGGGACTTTAATTGGTATATTATAGCCATTTAAAACAATCAAGTCTTCAAGAAGATTGTGATAATTGTGCATTTAGATGTCCCAGGTTAGAATCATGAAGCTTCTGGATCCCATCTTGTCAATACATGTTGGTGTCATGTAGATAATACTTGTGTAGCTGACATAGAAACTGTGGGAAAGTCCACTGTACAAATTAATGGTGCACATTAAATTCCAATGGCAGTTGGAATTCTCTCCCACAGTATTGCATTTACAGATGCTAGTCTTGAAATGACCAAGGTATGTATCGAGACACTTGCAAATCAAAGTTGTATATGACAAAATATAGTAGGTGGAAGTGCCGTAGTCCAGGAAAAACTTTTGAACCTTCATTGCACACATAACCATAGAAATAAGAATTACCAGGTCTCTTAATTAAACCCATTCCATTAAGGTCTACCAGCTATGCATTTAGTAAGCCTTAGTCTCCTAGGCTATTCTATTAGTTTATTTAAATATCATATATTATTGTATTATTCTTTAGTTGGCTAACACCCCATAACATACTGATTTAATACCATAAAGTATTTAATGTGAGTATTATTTATATTTCAGATCATGGTGACGTTTGTTGTTATAATGATAACATTTGTTGTATCTGTATTCTATACCTGTTTATTACCTCATGTTGTTTACACATCACATACCATAGTTACAATAACTCATCTTATAGTTGGACATTGGTTATTAGTAAATATTGTATTTCACTATGCTATGGGAAGTTTTAGGAGTCCTGGTCATCCACCTCCAGTAAGTTGAATAAACCTATTTCAGAACAGTATAAGCCAAATTGGATACTGAAGTTCATTCTTGAATTTAATAGTTGTAAGAGCATTTGCTTAATATAAAGAGCAATAATGGCAAACATACAATTTGACATACATGTAGAATCTCTGTTGTAAGATTGGTATAGAATATTTGAATCGGGCATAACGATTTACTTACCTGCTTATATGGGCAGTACAACTTGTTACATGTGCAGATGTACTAGATTACCAGGAAAGTAATGCCATGCCCAGTGTTCTAGTTTGACTGGTTACCCATCTTGGACTTGGTTCACTTCCTTGTTCTTTGGGTTTGTACCATGTTAATCTCAAGTATTCAATTAAGATGTCAAGCCATGTACATTATATTTTTAAATTTATTGTACTAAACTTTTTTATTTTATGTCAGCTGGTACAGAACTCTGTTTCAATCTGTAAGAAGTGTATTTCTCCCAAGCCACCAAGAACCCATCACTGCAGTATTTGTAAAACCTGTATTTTAAAAATGGACCATCATTGCCGTATCCTTTGTCAATACTCCTGTGATAATTTTGTTGGGTTTCTTGTATCTGAAACCCCATCTTCATCAGCCCGGATGGAGCAGAAAAGTAGGACATTAAACCCCATTTCATTTCATTATGAAACAGTTGGCCTACAATCATCTTAAGGAAGTCACAAAAAAAGGCGACTAATTTGAATACAGCAGGGTAGCCTACAATATATTAGTTTAATTGGGGGTGACTAGATCTTTGACATATCGGAGTTTTTTTTTTTGTCAAGGCAACAACCATGTTTTTGTCTCTTCGTAGTATTGCCTTGTTTTTCGATATTTTATAAATCAGTTGTTAATTACCTTAATATTAATTAGCATGGCTAAATAATTGTGTTGTATCTGAAACCCCATCTTCATCAGCCCGGATGGAGCAGAAAAGTAGGACATTAAACCCCATTTCATTTCATTATGAAACAGTTGGCCTACAATCATCTTAAGGAAGTCACAAAAAAAGGCAACTAATTTGAATACAGCAGGGTAGCCTACAATATATTAGTTTAATTGGGGGTGACTAGATCTTTGACATATCGGAGTTTTTTTTTTTTGTCAAGGCAACAACCATGTTTTTGTCTCTTCGTAGTATTGCCTTGTTTTTCGATATTTTATAAATCAGTTGTTAATTACCTTAATATTAATTAGCATGGCTAAATAATTGTGTTGGTTTTTATAACCACAGACATTTCTTTCTATTCTGTTTTTATATGTGGGTTGGTACTATGTACGTTAGTTATGTTGGTTATGATTTATTTAAACAACATTTCTATGGTAATAAGGTATGTATTTTAAACTCATTCAGTGGTGACAAATCAATAATTTTGTAATTGGTCTTAAATTATATATAACTGTGGTGTATTATATAATTTAAGGAACTTCTATTCCACCTGTTAGTAAACTATCAACATTTGGTGTGATGACTCATAATATCAGATTAAATCAATTTAAATCTATAGATTCTACTTTTCAGTTGCACTCCCTTCATTGAATTTGGTTCTGGACTGTTTTTTGTTTGCGGGGTGGGGTACCAGTTTAAAAGTATATTTTATTTTATTAAAGTATATTATGCTTGGCAACTTCTATTTCAGGTGTTGATATTTCCAGACTTTTTATATCCATTAAATCTTGCCAGAGAAGCAATGGTTAGTTCTGGGGTATGTAGATGTTATAAATTTTGGTCTTTCAGGGGACCTGACACTAAATACCTATTTAATAATCATCATAATATGACAGTTAATTTATTAAATAAATTGTAAAAAAAAAAGAGAAATAAATCATAGAACATGAATAAAGGGAGATAATTACATTCAATTTCCCACATCTTAAATTATCTCCCCTTAGACCACAAATAGCGTCATTATTCTGTTTTTTCTGTACTGTTATGAACACAAATTGTCCTTTTCAGATTACATCAAAAGTTTTGGTAGAGAAAGGGGAGAAGAAAGAGGAGAAAAAAGATGAAGATGATGTGGAACATCTTAGCATCAGTTACAGTGATAAAACTTTTCATAATCTAGTCATATTTGAATTTTTACTATGTACTGGTGTATCTATTGCATTAGGACTATTAACAATGTGGCACTTCCGACTTATCAGTAGAGGAGAAACTAGTATAGAACAACATATAAATAACAAAGAAAGAAAAAGATTAAAAAAGAGGGGAGTGGTATGTATTCTTTGTTGATATTAAAACTATTACTACAGCTGTTTACTTTTATGGATCATTTCACAATTAAGAAATCTGTTTGTGTGGTCAGTATCGTAATTTTAGAAGGACAAGTCAGAAAATTAAAGTAATCCAATAAATAAATTGAACATAGAAAATAAAAGAGTCTGATTGAAGTTTAATCTTTATTTGTTGCATTTTAATTTCGATTGATCTAGAAGTTGTAACAACAATAACAGAAAGGATGGTCTAACTTTTAACTGGACTGAAGAGTAAACAAGCCAAGTGTTTCATTTGCATTAAATTCAGTATCCTTAAACTGTTGTTTTATAACCTAAAATTAATTACATGTATCACACAGTCCAGGTGGAGTAGATATGATACAGTGAAGCAGTTATATCTATAAATATTGGGTTGGTGTTGATCAGAATATATACTTAAAATGTACATTATGATAATATTTCTCATAAACAGAAAAAAACCCACACCAAATGTGTAAAGAATAGAACAATCTCAAATCCTTAATTTTTACATATTCATTCATTTCTTTTTCAGGTTTTTAAAAATCCATACAACTGGGGTTTTATTGCTAATTGGAAACAATTCTTAGGTTTAACCAAAAATAGGTAAATTTTACACGGTTTTGTTTCTAACTAAAGAAGTTTATTTGCCAAAAATTTTGTACTGATTTTCTTGTTTTAAAACACATACAGACATTTTTATCCATTTTACTTTTTTTATTCATGCTTTTCAGAAAACTTAAAGGCTTTTAGAATGAAGAACAAATACTCATAGAAAAGTTAGGGCTAATCCTGTTTACATGGGAGTATATTGTCATCACCCATGTTTATCCACCCCTTCACAATTCAGCATGTCAGAGTCTTTGATGACTTTTTTTTGGAAAACCCTATTAATATTCAGACTTGTGCATCAGTTCCCCTATCACGAAAACCTTACATATATATTCTTTTGGTTTTACATCACAACATACTATGACATTGTTGCTGTTCTTCCCAAAGCTACTGATGGACATCATGTTAATTGCTTGGCAACACTATGTTAGGGAAAGACAAACTCTGCAATCTCTCTTTGCTCTACTATTTTTGGCATGCAATTTTTTTATTTGATTATTTAAGATTAAAATGTTTATTTATTTCAGGTCTTTTTGGAGACATGTATTATTACCATCAAATCATTCTTTAGAAGGTGATGGTTTAATATGGGAAACTACAACTTATAGTTTTAAAACAGATCAAAATGGTTTACAATTATTATGACATAAACTTAAATTCAGTTAATGTCTTAAAATATATTGTATAATATACTGTAATATTTTTCGAGTAATGTTTATCTGTTGGGTGTTGTGGTTTAATAGTATGCTTGCAGGGACCGTAAAATATAAATACCTTTATATTTTCATAAAATTTTGTCATCTTCTATACTAATATTTGTGACTGTCGTTTGTCTGTCTGTCTGTCTGTTTGGGGTTGGCGGCTACACTAGGTCTGCCCCGAGTCTGAAATTTGGGATATAGGGGTAGCTCGGACCAGGGAGTAACATAGGCCAGGTGGCGGTAGTCTACCACTTCTGGTTTTGGGGTTATGACCCCCGAGCAAAGCTGGGCATTCTTCTAGTTTCTCATAAAATTATCATAAAATGGAAAAACATTGTAAAAAATATAAAATTTCACTGTTTCTCATGGGACGAAAATGTTTTCAAAATATAAAATCAACCATAAATCGCTACTCCCAGTAATAAATTTCTATGCTAATAAATCCTGTTTTGAATAAGAAAATCATCCAGGAATTTTATGACCCCCAGGTTTATATTTGACAGTGCTCAGTTAATGTTATGATGGTATCTGTATATGAAATGAAATTTGGGTTTAACATCCTACTGTTCTGCTCCGACTGGGCTAATGAAGACACCCGATGAGTGATGGGCAGACACCATTCAGTGTGCTATGAGGGAAATTTTGCCCTGACAGCGGCACTAAGGTCTACTCTTATACTCTGTATCGAATTCCAACTGCCAAGGGATCCTTTATGTGCACGCCAATGTGTACATGGGACCTCGTTTTTTTGTGCCATCCAAATGACTAGATAGCTGTCCTTGTCAGGTCCTGCGTCCTGCACCACTGCCAAGGGATCCTTTATGTGCACGCCAATGTGTACATGGGACCTCGGTTTTTTGTGCCATCCAAATGACTAGATAGCTGTCCTTGTAAGGCCCTGCGTCCTGCACCACTGACAACTTTCGCGGCCAACACCGGGAGTGATCCTATGACCTCCCGGCTAGTGAGCCAGTATCATACCCGCTTAGCCATTGTGGGTATTTGAACATAGGAAAAGATGACTGCGACCATTAATACCACAAGTGGTGGGACGTTTTTATCCGCATAAATGTCAGTGCAGTTATATAAAAAAAGTCATAATATTTGATAATGATAAAAACATAAAAGTCATGAAATGTGATAAAAACATTATAAAAATATCATAAATTTGATAAAAACACCATAAAATTTGATAAAAACACCATAAAAATTGTCAAATTTCACAAGAAACTTTCATAAGAATATGAATTTATAAATATCTGTGTACGGTCCCTGTGCTTTTATTGTATGTTAATACTATTCTGCCCTGAACCAATTGGGGGTGTCCAAACGGTCTAACACGTTAAGTAGCATGGTTTTGATTCCCAGCTTGTATGTGACAAGTAGGGTTTCTTCCCACTGCTAAAGCCCCTTACTTGCACGCAAATTATTGAAGTAAAATTGAACTACATGTTAGTTCAGAAATGACTTAGTTTATGTTAGATTTTTCAGTCAGTGCTCCAAATTTATGGAATTCCATTGAAACCAAACGAATAAAGGAAATTCTTTTATCTTTAAACTGAACTTTTTAAATCAAATATACAACCGATTCAATATGAACCTAGCTTTTTTTGTGTCAAGCTTTTACTAAATCATGTTTCTATGATCTATGTTTTTTATATCTTTTTCATTATGGGTTAATTATTGTTGCTGTATTTATTTATTTTGAATGTTGTATTTTTACAAGCAGTTATCATGCAAGATATGCCAACATTTTGCAAGAGATGGATAGAGAACAAGCTAAATAAACCAATTTTTCGTACAGTCAGGGACCATAGTCAAAAAACGGATAAAAATTGTGACCTCCACAGGGTCCACAACCTTGGTATTACATACTTTTACACCATTTGCGTACAGACAGCAGACATTTTTTCGGTCAAAATGTTTACGAAATTTGAACTGAAGCATCATTACAATGTAACAGTGATACAATTTAACAGTTTTAGATTAAATAAAAATTGAGACCTCTGGAGGGTCCACAAGCTGAAAATGTGATTTTTCGTACAATCAGTCGCCATAGTCCAGGAAGTTACAGTCAGATATGCACCAATATCAAAAGGAACTGAGATCTGTGGGTTATAAACATATATCTTAAGCTTCATCAAAATCAAATAAAAATTGTGACCTCTAGAGTGTCCACAAACTAAAAACATGACTTTTCGTACAATCAGGGTCCATAATCCACAAAATTATGGTCCAATACATGCCAATATCGAAAGGAACCAAAATCTTTGGGGTATAAACCTATATTTTAAGTTTCGTCAAAATTGGATAAAAATTGTGACCTGTAGGGTGTCCACAAACAAAATGTGAACGGACGGACAAAGGCAATGACAATATAGGTCCACATGAAAAATGTGGCTGGATAAAAAAAAAGAGCCTGAGAGCAGCTTGCAATTTCTTATTATTATTTGTCGTGATGTTTTTTTCTAAGTATACATCAAATTAAGTGCTCGAAACAATTTGCTTACATTTCAGCTTAAATTAATTGTAAGTAGTACCAGGCCTCGAGCATGACACAGGCTATGCTTACTCATTTTGCAACATTTGATGATGCTACTTCTCATTACTTTGCATTTGAAACCACTGGGCTGGCGACCTGTGACTGCAATGTTATCTTCTGCCATTTAGCCTTTGGCTTCTGAATCCTGGTCCAAACCATTCTGGGGGGGTGGATGGCCGAATGGTTAGCACGTGCGCGCTGTATCATGAGGTCCGTCATTGAATCAACTTGCATGGTTTCAATTCCCAGGTTGTACGTTACAGGTTGCAGGGTCGCCTTTCCAGCCTCATGGGTCTTCTTCAGGTACTCCAACTGCTAACGACCCGTACATGCAAGCGAATTATTGAAATAAAATTGAACCGTGTGTTAGTCCCGAAAGGACCTAGTTGTGTCGAGTGGACGTTAAACCTCTCCCTCTCTCGCTACCTTTACTTAGTGACAGGACTGGTGTCAAGCAAGAGGATGGTTAGGCTCTACAACACCTGATATCATTTCTCATTTGATAAGGTCACAGACGGTATTTCTTCTTGTACTTTGTAATGTACATGTACTTTTCAACTAAACCCAAAATGTTAGTGCCTGTGGTCCCATTTAAAAAAAGGAGCATTATTCTATTTTGTTTATCAATACCAGTAAAACCTGTTAGTACAATGAGATAACTTTATCCCGTTTTCTGTATTAATACCAGTAAAACTTGTTCATATACAGTGGACTCTGTCACATCCGATCTCTGATCACTCCGGATTGCTGTGACATTCGGTATGATTTTCATGTCCCGATTTATTTCCTTATTACTTCAGCCAAAAAATCGCTGGTAAATCCGGATTCTGTATGTTCCGGATTCCGAAATCAATCAGCCGTCCCGTCACATAATTTCCATTGAATCGACACAGTATAATCCGTACTTCAAACGGTGGGTGTGAAGCATCCAATTATCGGTGAGATTAAAACTCAATGGGTGTGAAGCCAGAAAAGATTAACAAGTAATCACCAATCAATTATCGGTGAGATTAAAACTGTGTTGATTACTTTGATCGGTAAAGCAGTGAACCCAAGTTGTTTTAAGGGAGTGGACAAGATCTACCTGCCAGTCAATTGGTCGGCTAATCGCAAAGCTTGGATGACAGGTGCCGTTTACTTTGATTGGCTTGAAAAACTGGACATAGAACGACAGATTATAAATGACAATTGACTGAAGACGGGGACGATGAAGAATATACATTAACGACAGACTTGACCTATTCAAAATTCCTACGCATGCTCAACAACATTAAACACTTCGCACAGATTAAGGACGAAAAGATGATCGCAACAATTCATTTGTTATAAGATGTTGCCCAGGACTCCGCTTTACGATATGCTTCCGGTAATCTTAACTAAGCAAACTACTTTAAACGATTACATGCATTGATATTTATAAATATATTGTACGCATGCATTGATATTACATGTAAACGATTTATGAATATATTGTACGTATGCATTGTTATTGTTAATTATTTAATATAATAAAATTTTGAAAGTACAGAAAAGTTTATCATTTATAAAGGGAATAGCATTCTGGTGATTCGAAGCAGTATATATTTCTATGTTCGAAGCTACAATTTAAAAATACTTCCGTTTTTCGAAGTTACAGTATTTCCAGTTTTGGAGAAAACTCGGTATTCCGAAACGCTGTGTGATCCGAATTATTGTAACGATCCCGCACGATGTCGGATGTGACAGAGTCCACTGTAGTTGTATACAGTGAGAGAACCAGTATTATGCTTTATCTAAACGTGAGAAGTATTTACCAATTGTTGTCATTGTAAGTGCTAAGAATTGCCAAAATATTGGAATAGTAAGAATATATAATAAATAGATGTTTAATATGTTTTCCAATAATGACATTAAAAGATTATACATGTACATATAATACAACTTACTGCTCAATTCGATTCACTAATAATTTATAGAAAATGTCTAAAACAAAAAACGGCCAAGTAAATGCATTTCATTACTGTAAATATGTAACCAGGTTTGTCATTTTTTTTGTATTTGTTTACTAGCAAAAACCATAAAACAATAAAAAATATTCAATGAATGTTGTTTTGATATTAATACTTTATCCTATTGATAGGATGAACATAATTTTAATCCCAATGTAGTTCTACATTGACTGTGATATATCTACTATGCCTGATAGAATACTCTTAAGCGATATTTATGGTTGTCTTTATCAATTCATTATAACAATAAAATATTCAAAACAGTCACCAGAAGGAACATGGAATTATTGTTATTTTAGGCAGTGATTAAAATGGATTATGGAATACTGCTGCAACATAATATACATTACATGTATATACACACCATTAAAGTCATAGTACCTAGCAGAAGTGATGAAATCACTGAATATAATGTTATTCTTCTTAAAGAATTTAACCACTTGTTTCATTTTTTTATCTGTTAATCTCATCTTCGATCTGGCATTCCAATATTTGATAAGTTCTGTTCAAGATATGCTAAAGGTGTAGGGTATGATGTTTGGGGTTGATGCGGAGGAGGCATAACAAAAGGTTGGGGACCTGAGGGAGGAGGACCAGGTACGGTAAACTGGTTCATTTGTGCAGAAGGCTGCTGCTGTTGTACATGCATCATACCAGGATGAGGGGGAGGGGGACCTTGAGGTGGTGGGGGGAGATGACTTTGACCAGTAGATTGAGATCCTCCACTTCCAGGCATGCTATGTAACAAGTTTTGCCATTGTTGTAATCGTTCATGATGTTTTTCTATTAATTTCTCTTTTCTATCCAACTCGGCTTTCAATTCTTGTATATCCTGCAAATACAGAAAACATAATTAAATAGAACTGAATCAAGCTCTACAGAAATTCCTTTATTTAAACTATAGATAAATGACAGGGGATCAAAAGGCATTATTTATGTTATATAGTTAGGGTACAATCAAAGACACACTAGATAATCTTATATAAATGTAAGCCTAGGAGAAATTCCAATTAATTCAGGTCAGCTCAAAACACATGTTTCTAAGGTAAATGAGACTTTTCTATGAAACAAATATAAATAGCATGAAGTGCTGCTAAAGCTTACTACCGTATTCAATATCTACTTCCAAGCATAACATATGATAGTTGTAAGCCTAGAAAATGAAAAAAAAAACATATTAATCTCAAGAACATCATACACACCTCTTTAAGTACTTGCTCAGGTTTTTGTGTTGATAAAACTAATCTTTTATTGAGGAAAAAAGATTCTGTTTGACGTGCCAGATCTATAAATTTCTGAACTGACTGTTCTATTCCTGAAAATAAATGGTAAAAACAATTAACATAACATAACTTAACACATATTACCCATTTTTTTTCATTCATGTCACATTCCACCAAAAATTATAGAGACAGCATACATGTATCTAAACAAATCAACCATAAGGGTATACATCCTGTCTTAATTCTAAAACAAATAGATGACAATCATTAATTACTTATGTATTTATCTTTTTATAAAGCATTGAGCAACAAAACTGCTTATCACTCTGCTTATTCTGAGCAGAAAATTCTTGCTATTGAACTTATTCAAGATATTGATGTAATGAAACTATACACCAAGTTTGACCATTACCATGTTCCAAAGTATTGACAAACCAAACTGCTTATCTCTAATAGAAGAAAATGCTCATTATCAAACTTTATCACTGTACTAATGTAATGAAACTATACATCAAAGATCTGGCCAATCAAATGCCTCATCTCTGCTTATCATCAAACTCAATCAAGACATTAACCTAATGAATATAATAATATACACCTAGTAAGAAAATTCTACCTCAATTAAAAGCAGAGCTATTGTGATCCAAAAGGTGTGACAGACATACAAATGACCCCTCGACAAACAAAAAGTGGCTTTAATTAAAATAGTAATTGCGTTCAATATTATGTGATGAGGACTGTACTAGTTCAGTGTTACTAACCAACTCTATTTTCTTCTGTGTCTGATGTGTTAAAATGTTCTTGGGTTGACAACTGTTCTATACAATTCTGAAAAAAAAAGTACAGTATATGTATCATTTTTCAAACATGTCTTTTCCTCAGATCAACCAGCCAGGATAGAATTCATTCCACATTTTATTGAATTCTGGGGTTATCATTACCCATGAATGAATGAATAGGACTGTCCAGGTTGTGCTGAATTAAGGATATCTGGCCTAGAAATTCTAGTTTTTAATTTTGGCTCTTTTATTTTTTTTCACGGTACACAATTTACATTGCTCTTTTGCACCGTCTACCTGTTCTTTCGATTCAACTTCAAGCTGAACATTAATTACAAATTGAAATAGAATTCACAAAAAAATAATACTCAAAATAATAAATGGCCACTTTCTTATCTTTTACCTCCTAGCATCTAAATAGTAAAATACTAATTGGAATAAAAGTATTATGATCAACAAGTTCAGTTAGTCCACTTTCATGCAAATTAAAGACGAATACATACTTTAAACGCTTGTTCTAATTGATCAATTTGATGAGGATGATTCTCATCTGCTTCACAGTAAGCCGCCATTGTTGTGATAGGATAACAAAAACTTCCGGTTAGCTTCTAATGACGTAGACCGATGACCCACTGACCTATTAACGTAGCGTAAAAGAACGCTAGATCGGAGACGGTCCTGCGCATATGACGTCATGTGTGGATTGTGAGTTAGGGTTAGGCTTGGTTTAGGGTTAGCGCTAGCCTTGTTTACATTTCGAGACTGATAAAATCTGCAGGTCCTAACCCCATAGAAATATATCTATGCTAACCCTTACCTAGTTCCTTTAGGAACTGTCTCTTTCCCTAACCCACAATCCACCTATGACGTCGTATATGCTAAATTACGCAGGACCGTCGCCGATCTAGAAAAGGGGCAATCTATTTGTTTCGTATTATTGTATCTAAACCACATCAACTTCAAAAGGAAACACGGAAATCGAAGTCATCCATAATTACTCGAGTAATTAGTGCTGTAAATGTGTACTCATCATGTAGAAAAACTCCGAAACCATTCCTAAGTATTAACAAGAGCAGATAACTCTAAGTTGAACGACGAAATTGCGAAATTGGGGAATTTTTATTTGTTTACGTTTTGGAGTGTATTTGTGGTTATGATTGGAAAATGTGTCCATAAAAGGGATCGTAATTTATGGATTTCTTTTGTAGGCGTTTTTACCTACCTGTAGATTATTATCATTTTATGTATATTACAATATTCGCTCACAGATAAGTCAAATTAAATTAAGCTTGAAATGTCAAACACTTCCGGGAACACTGTAGTAAGTGTAAGGTAAAATACGATCTGATATAAGCAACTCGTTACCCTGGCCTAAGTGTTATCAGTTTGATAGCTATAAATACATGTACGGACTTTCTTTACTTGTTTTAACAGTTGATCTATTCGTTTGTGATAAACTTACATGGTTGCTGGTCACGGACAATAGTGAGAAGAGAGTCATTTTATTAATCTTTCATTTAATATAATTCATATACCGTAATTGTACTTAAATAATCATGTCTGCGACTGAACCAGTTAATGACACCAATGAAACCACTGATGTGATTCCATCATCCTCAAACAATTCAACAGCAGTAGCCTCTTCAACAAACACTCCATCCACAAGTAGAAGTCGAGATACTAGTACACGAAGAAACAGATCACGATCTCGTACCCGAAGTAGACATGGACATCGAGAAGGGCGCAGTCATGTCTCTCATCGATCAAGAATTCGATTTAAACATAAAGAAAGAAACTTTGCTGCTGCTGTCTGTAGTATGATAACTATTGTGATTTTATGCACAGCTTTATCTGAACCACGCTGGATTTCACTGAGGGGAGGGGGCTGTACATTATTACATGGTGGAGATCTACATTACCTTGGAGCCTTTCAATTCTTCTACAATGGTCAATTTTATCAGGATCAAAACTCTCACGCCACAGCAACAGTTAATGAAATTTATAAATATGGCCCAAATGCCAATGAAAGTAAGAATACAAATTATAAGATAAATGTTATTTAGAATATAGTGTTGTACATTAGTGCCAGGTATTGCGACTGTTATTATGACACACTTTGTATCCAAATGTCGCAGTACAATCCTATTTGAAATACATATTTGGGAGAAAATTGAACTTTAGTGTTTGTATTTTAATTTAAGCAGAACATCATAACATGACATTCTGTTTACATGTGTTGTGAGAAAGTTTTTCAGTGCGACACAAGTTGTTTTGTACCAGAAATCTGTCAAATTTATAGAATAATTCATAACAAAGTGGCATGTATGTATCACAGTTCGGATTTGGTACTTCAATACAATATATAATGTGGTGAGGTGAATTGTGATACATAGATTCACTATTATACCGTGTCAGCACCATAAAACATGTAATTCTGTAATTTTCTTGGCCACTATTCAATATATCAATTCCTTAAATGACATCTATAGCTATAAGTATAGTTTAATAATCGCAAAAAAACACAACACAAGATATATTATGAATATAACTACATGTACATCTCTGTTATTTAATAACAATGTTTCATAACACAGTTATATCCATAAATAATGTCCATACATGTATATACCTTGTGTTGTTGTGAATACTACACAATGACGTCCAGATTTATGAAGGCCTATGAGCTTTATAAATTTATCAAATCACCGATAAATAAAAGAATATAATTTTCGTGCAGTTGTGTTCAGATATTGTTTCAGGTGGTTTAGTCTGTATTGTAATTTAGACAACAAATGTCCTTGTCATGGCTTTGTTTTTGGCTAGAAAGTGATGGAAAGGAATGACTGTCATGTGATGTTTACTCTTTTACATAGCTATCAATATTTTCAAATAGCTTCTCAAATGGCAATACACTTACACGTATCTCTACAAATAACTAATTTTAACATCTCAGATTTTCATAATTTCTCCTTTGGAAAGTTTAGTTTAAACAAAATACAATATGCAAAGCACCTTCTGCCATCTGCCCATGATGAACCATTAAAAAGTTTTGTAATTTTGTTGCACAAAAATTTATCCACCACTGACATTACCTGTATTGAATGTGCCATGAACATGGGTTAGCTGTTGCAAACAATTTGTGGACAGGATTCTAAAAGCACTCTGTTTTGTATGATCATAAAAGTTGATTGTCCTTTGTTCTTCTTTTTTATAAATTGATACAGATTATTATTAGTGTATATTTTTGATACACAGAATACATGTAAATTCTTGTCTTTTTTTCTATTTACAGTGATGTCTAATTGTGTTACATTTAGAACTGTTTTACTGTTTAAAGCCATTATTGCCTTCAGTTTTCTTGGAATACTATGCAGTCTATTTGCCTTTTTACTGGATTTAATGGGACCTACACACAAGGCTTTGAAGATGTTAAGACGTAATGCTCTTTTCAGCATTCTCTCAGGTAAATGTTATAAAGCATTCACTACAAATGTACATGGTAATATTCCAAACTGTGTTTCCAAATAAATATGGACGTTCATGCTGTCATGGACCCAATCTCAATATAGTTTGTATGTTTGTTGGTTTACTTTTGATTAAAAAGTATTACATACAATCTTTCACCTATTGTTAAATATTTGCTACATAATGTGTGACAATATACGATATATCTGACAATAGGTATTAGACGTACACTTTTCTTATAATTATAAGTAATTATTACTCATAAAATTATCATGAGACTACACCCACCAAGGGACACATTTGCACACAGACTATGTATCTGTCCAACAGTGTCCATCATTGTTTGTTTGATAGAAACTACATGTATCTACATCCATGTAATATTTACAGTAAGTAGTTCAACTATGAGCTGTTTTGATTGAATGATTTTATAGTAACCCATATATAGATAAAAACGGCATATAATTTTTTTTTTCAGTGTTGATGTGTGTAGTAATCAACTTATTTTGTTACTATGTAACTGTCTATGTGGATGAGTTACAGAATAAAACAAAGTTACATAAAGGAAGTAAAGTTGATGTCACATTTGATGTTAGTTTTTATCTGGTAACGGCTGCTGGAGGTATATCCGTTTTCAGTGTAGCTTTTAACTGCTTGCGCAGACGTTCATCTTTTGAAGAACCCCGACACAACTATGTGATGAATGACTATGATGATCTGAATAGCCTTTTACCCCCACCAGAACCAGAGGTAGCTCCTATGGCTAACCTCCCACCACCACCGGCCTACTCCCCATAAACAAAATACATTTCATCTTGTTATGCCCATCTAATGTGATCCTACCGTTATGAAGGTGAACCTATAGCCAAAATATAGCTATGTGTTACATTACTCATGGTTCAAAGAAAAATGATTAAAGATTGTCATCAAAATGTGATATATAAGAATAAATATTTAAAATGTGAAACACAAAAGACAGTGTGTAATAATCTATCTTAATCCTATTGGTTGGTTGTTTTTATTGAAGTAGGATATCTACATGTATGATGTTCTGTTTCAAGATGTACACATTTAAATCAATTGTAATATAAATACCGGTTCATATCTATAGTCAGTTTCGTATTAGTGCTAAAACTACTAATTGCATGTAACCTATGAATCTCTCTCATTTGCAATTTTATAGATACATGTATTGGTATGTAATTTGAATATATACCGTCAACATCCACATCTTTTTTGGTCCATCCACATTTCTTGTGAGCACTCCACAGTGCAGAGTTCTTTTTTTTAATTTGAAGGATTGTTCACAAAGCTACAATATATATTGAAAATCATAATACAGGATTAAGTTGTTTCAGAAGGAAGAAGCCCATATTTTGAGGAATTTTTCATTTGCAAATTGACAAATTACCAGTCTCCCTTGAGGTTAATTGGGTCAAATTATAGACAAAAATTAAACAAGTTTATTATTACAGCAGGTCAATACTGAGCCTGGTAGCTTGGATTAAGTTTTCCATATGGTGGTTATGTCTCTACTCTCTAAGATAGTGATTGTCCAAAAAATACATCTATAAAAGCTTATAATAATTTTGGAATTGTTCTTGGGTTTCAAAAATTCAGAATCTTATTATTGAATAAATGAGTGTCATGCTTACTGTCAAGGATAACTTGGCTACTGGTAAGCGTGTAATGGATGTTTCATTAAATGTTTAATAAAAATCTATTTAATAATTCTTGATATTAAATCTCTAAATTTATCAGCCTACATTGTTTTAGCTGAAGGCTACTGGTACTGTTAATGTTGTAAATTCCTTATAAAATAGATGTGCTTTTACATAATTAAAGCTTTGGATTAGCTTCATTATGTAGTTTAATGGTTAAACTGTGTTTATGTATTTATTTAGTGCTAAATAAAAACAGTTTGTAGATATCGTTATTTTACAATATTACTAGTATCAATGGTTATGGAGCACATACTATATACTTATAGTTAAAATAAAAATAATTGTTATTTGTTGAATGTGATTGCAATGTAATCATTTTAACCTTATATATGTATGCTTCTCTGTGCAATTGGTTTTTGGACATTCTCTTTTATCATTTAAATCAAAGCCCTTCTCTCTTATTACACTGTTATTGCTCTTGATCTTTCATTGTAATGGGTGGCTCAGTGAGCAAGGTGCTGGCTCACTATCAAGGAGGTCAGGAGCTTGATCCCAGTGTTGGCCATTAAGTTCTCCAAGATTTTCCAGTGTGTTTTCCTATTATCAGTGGTTCAGGACAAAGGACCTGGCAATGACCATCGTCTAGTTGTCCGGATGATATGAAAAGAAGTGAGGTCCTGTGTACCCAATGCTGTGTGCACAAAAGAAGCCATGAGAGTTTGAATTTAATTACTGTCTGAGCAAAATGTCACTTGTAGCACACAGCATGGTATTGGTTTCCATCGGAATTTAAGGATTTTGATATGAAATGGTAAAAGAGTGTGCTATTGGAATGAATAAATTGTAAATATTTACTTAGTTAATTATTCATTTAGTAACTTGATCACTATAAATAATTAATGTTATTGTACTGTTTTTGAAGTAATAAATTATTTTTATATTTTTATGCTGTAACATTTGTTATTGAAGGACTACCTGTAAATGGTACATTGTATGTTTTAAATTTTTTGATTTATTGTACCAGTATTTTATTTTATAGTGCTCAAAATTTTCTTATCAGCATGTAGTGCAGATAATAATTTGTTTTATATAAATAGGTAATGTAAATAATAATATTTGATTCGACCATACTACAACGCTACAGAATATGTCAAGGTTTGTTAGTGGTGTTAAATCAGGACAGGGCATTCATTTTATCAGGGGGGGGGGGGGGGATGGCCGAATGGTTAGCACGTGCGCGCTGTATCATAAAGCCTGTCATTGAGACAACTGGAGTGGTTTCGAATCCCCGGTTGTACATGACAAGGAGTAGGGTCGCCTGACCAACCTCGTGGGTTTTCTCCGGGTCCTCCGGTTTCCTCCTACTGCTAAAGACCCCTACGCGCAAGCGAATTATTGAATTAAAATTTAAAACCATATGTTAGTCCCAAAATGACCTAGTTTGTGTCGAGTGGACGTTAAAACTCATTTATCTCTCTCTCTCTCTTTTTATCAATACTGTAGTTGTAATACCAGCAGATGTGCTATATTTTTTCTGACAGAAGCATGTGAATTCAATATTGGTTGATATTTCAAATACACCATTTATTAATCGGAATATTTGTCACAAATACATATAAAAACTTCACAAAAGAGCAGAACAAATGACACATGAATATGATGGACAGAACAAGTACATGTAGATTTGTCAATTCAACTAATTCATTATTCAGTGGTGGAAATTACATACATCGTAAAGTAATGTAAATGGAATTGTAGATGTTCTGATTATAAAAGAAAACTTTTTATAAGTCCACAATTTGTTTGTGGACACTCTACAGGTCACAATTTTTCACTTTTTCAACGAACCTCAGTTAATGGCGCCATCTGGTAGCAAATTGTATAAGCTTTCTGTGAAACAATCAATTTCAGGTAAAAACGATCAGAGTCACATCGTACCAAGGCCCTTCTGAAATGGCCTCCTGAACAAATACAAGTCAATCGTACCCTTTATTTGACCTTAATTTGGCTGAAAAGTGGAAGACAGTTGTTGTACTGGTAATTATGATTCGTATTAAACATCTTTTTGAAGTTGTAATTAAACCCACTCCTTGTTCTGTTCGCGTCAAGCATTCTCGTCCAAAACTTGAAATGTATGTTTATAACACAAAGGTCTTGGTTCCTGTCGATATTCGCGCATATCAGACTGTAACTCCCTGGATAATGACCCTTGATTGTATGAAAAATCATGGTTTTAAGCTTGTGTATTCCCTAAAGGTCACAATTTCTATCGTGATTTTAAAAACTGTTTGAATATATCACCATTCCACCATAATGAAGGTTGAATTCAAATGTGGAGAAAATCGAAACGAAACTGCCCGACAAAAAGTACATAAATAGAAGGTTGTGGCACCTATCCGATTTTTATGAAACTTGAAAATATATCTTTATATCCCAAAGATCTCAGCTTCTTTCGATATTTGCGCATTTCAGACCATAACTTTCTGGATTATGGCCCCTGATTGTACGAAATATCACTTTTGTTTTAGCTTGTTCTCTATTCATCTCTTGCAAAATGTGGGTGTATCTTGCCTGCCAACCACTGGTTGCTAAAACAAGTATGAGCATACACAAGACTGCCAAGTTTCATGTCCATAGAGCTGGAATTGATGGAGCGTTAGGTTTTTTCGAAAAGGGTCATCCCCAAATATAAGAACAGCGACAAGATGTGTAATGCTTGGGACCCCAGTTCTTGGTCCAAATATTATCGTGATAAAATTTCAATTCAACACAAGAAAATATATTTTGACTTTATTCCCAAAATATGCCGATAATACACCACTGATTTGACCAGAACTGCTGGCGAGACATGATAAGTTGAAATTTGATATTTTGGCAGGATTGTTGGCAGGACATTTACAAAAGAGAATCACAATCCTGTGCTTTTTCATTGCATCTCAATCTCGTGGATCAGTATATAAGATAATAAATGGTACAAGATAAAAATAAGAATACATGGAGTGTGAAAAATTAAATCCAAATACCACAGATAATATAAAGTTACCTGAACTTGACACAGGAACTGAGGTCTCTCTCACTTACCATATTTGCCTAGAGGTAAATGTGCACAATCTGATGACTACCAGGGAAAGGGGGTGGCAGCAAGAATGCACCATATTATATTCCTTTTTGTTAAATAAACCCCTTTCTCTTGTTTCCCTACTTAAATTACTTGAAATATGTTTGTATCGTATATTCAGTATGTTAATATATTGAGTTTCTTAATAAATTAATTACAGTAGATTTTGTAACAACAAAAAGAAGAGTGTACATTCCTGTACTCACTTGCACATGTATATTATTTCCATGAAAATAAATTCCATATGTTCTTTCAAATTTCGTTTTTATACATCCACATGTTAATGTCTGCTGGTCTATCAATTCACCATACTTGTACTCGGTCTACTGAGTTAAGTTCTGCCTAATTGTCCGGATAGTATTGATTGTGGTAAAGAAAATGCAGTAGTAAGTAGTAGTAGTAAAATGCAATTTTCACAAAGTTATATGTCCAGATGCTCTTTACTACAAAAAATAATACAACAATAAGTTACCAACGATACCAACATAAAACAAGACAATAAAGAGAGAATGATTTAGTTTTGTGCCGAGTAGATGTTTTAACTAAATCATTTCAGGACTAACATATGATACAATTTCAATCATTTGTTTGATCATAATTATTTTTAGCAGTACCAGGAAAAAAAACACAAGGTTTAGCAGACACCCCCACTCATTGTCATATACAAGCTTAGGATCGATGAGACATGCCTTATGATTTACAGCAACATGTTAGAACACCAGACCACCCCCCCAATAATAGAAAACCTTGTTTAAATAGATAGGCCTATGTTTTCAAGTTAGATTTAATTATAGTGATGCATGTGTAACTGTCTTTCTATCTCATAAGGGAGTTTATTCCCAAGGTTTGGAGCTCTTACAAGGTCCTTTAACCTATTCTGTTGAGTACTTGGCATTGCTCTCAATCATCTGTACTGGAGTGTAATCTATACTAATATTTGTGACTGTTGTTTGTCTGTCTGTCTGTTTGTCTGTCTGTTCGCGGTAGGCGACTACACTAGGTCTGCCCCGAGTCTGAAATTTGGGGTATAGGGGTAGTTCGGACCGGGGAGTAACATAGTCTACCACTTCCGGTTTCGGGGGGTTATGACCCCCGGCTGTTCAGGGTTGACGGCTACACTAGGTCTGCCCCGGGTCTGAAATTTGGGGTATAGGGGTAGCTCCGCCCGGGGAGTAACATAGGCCAGGTGGCGTTAGTCTACCACCTCCGGTTTCGGGGTTATGGCCCCCGATCGAAGCCGGGCATTCTGCTAGTTTTTAAATATTTAATAGTAAAGAAGATTATATTAAAGTCTATTCTCTATGTGCTAGGTAACCAGTACAGATCAATTAACCACATGGGTGATATGTGCATATTTACTGATACCTGTAGTAGTCAAGTGTGTAGACATTTTAATTGAAATGAAATGACATGAAAAGGGGTTTAATGTCCTTTTATTTTGCTCCATCCATGGTAATGAAGACAGGCATACACTATCATTGTGCAATGAGGGAAAAAATTTTGTCCCATCCAAAGGACTAGACATTTTCCCTTGCCAGACCCTGCATCCTGCACAACTGACAAAGGAAACCATGTTGGAATAACCTGAGGAACTTTCTTGGCTAAAATTTGGATCGAACCTGGGACCTCCAGGTTAGTGAGCCAGCGACATTTTCACTGTTTGGAGCAACACAGGAATTTATTGAGAAGTTAATAATATCAGTAATGACTGATTGGTGACGAAAGACATGGATTTAGTAACTGGGTTGGAATTGGATCAAGAAGATATGATTTTTTTTTTGATGAACATAGGGCTGGCTGAAAAGTTCTAAGTCTGAAAAGGATGGATTTGCCACCAATAAATAAAATCATTGACTGAATCATAGACATAAGGACTGCAACTTGAGTGTTGTTAGTGTCTTTTTGAACCTACCTATGGAAATCACCAGACATGGACAAAACTGGCTATAGGCCCGATAGTATAGGGTAGTCATTAAGTACCAGCAACTAAAAGGACTAACTCCAACACATTTACATGCCGCCATGGTCTCCCCTTCAGGGGATGATGTCCCTTCCTTTTCTACCGTAAAGAAGTGGGCTGCAGAATTTAAGCGTGGCAAAAAGAGCCTAGACGATGATCCGCGTCCTTAAAGGCCATAAACAGCAACAATTCAAGAAAACAGTACCCAGGTGCATGACATGGTGATGGCTGATCCACGACTGACCACTCGACATAGTGCCAGTGTTGTGGGCATCTCTCATGAGAGGGTTGAGCACATAATGGCAGCCAGTATAAGGAATGACAAAAGTTTCTGCAAGATGGGTGCCTAAGCTCTCGACTGTGGACTGTCTATCAGAAACATGTCAGATTCCCATGACAATCTGTGCATTTTGAAGCAGATCCTGATAATTTTGTGGCAAGATTTGTAACCATGGATGAGACCTGGATTCATCACTTTCAAACAGAATCCAAAATTCAGTCATTTTCCTTGTAATGATGAAGTCATGTTAGCTGTGAACGACTTTTTTAGGGTGGCTGAAGAAAATTTCATTCTGACCAGCATCCAGGCCTTGCAACATCGTTGCCAAAAGTGTGTACACCTCGTAGGGGACTATGTAGGTTTTTCACAGACAGGCTTAGAACTTTTCTGCCAGCCCTGGTACATCTGTATAATCCAGATTCACTTACTGCACTGAATGAACTTAATGATACCCAACAAGAGATCACAGTCAAAATGTGGTAGAATAGTTTTAATCAGATATAGGAATTAGGTACCGAAAAAGTTCTTTACCCTTGTGTTATATTACTTCCATCTTGACCAATCAAATTGCTTATTGCTCCTTAGCCCAAGCAGAAAATTCACACAATCGAATTTAGTCAAGGTAATGATATAATGAATCTATATTCAGAGTTTCATCACTCTCACTTCATTATAACCAAAGTTATCATGCCCCTAAAGCATCAACCAATCAGATTGCTTATCGTAAGCAGACAATGTTCATCATCGAACTCCATCAAGGGATTCACCTAATGAATGCCTACACCAAGTTTGAACATTCTACCTCAATTAGAAGGAGAGTTATTGTGTTCCAAATTCTCGACCAATCAAATTGCTTATCGCTCTGCTTATCCTCGGCATAAAATGTTCATTATCGAACTTAGTCAAGGTTTTGATGTAATAAAGCTATACACCAAATGTCCTCACTCTCACTTAATTAGAACTAAAGTTATCATGTCCCAAAGCATCAACCAATCAAATTGCTTATCTCTGCTTACCCTGAGCAGAAAATGCTCATCTTCGAACTCCATCAAGGGATTCACCTAATAAACACCTACACCAAGTTGGAACATTCTAACTCAATTAGAAGGAGAGTTATTGTGTTCTAAAATCTTGGTCAATCAAATTGCTTATCGCTCTGCTTACCCTGAGCAGAAAATGCTCATTATCGGACTTAGTCAAGGTATTGATGTAATGAAACTATACACCAAGTTTCATCACTCTCACTTAATTAGAACAAAAGTTATTGTGTCCCAAAGCATCAACCAATCAAATTGCTTATCTCCGCTTACCCTAAGCGGAAAATTCTCATCTTCGAACTCCATCAAGGTATTGACCTAATAAACACCTACACCAAGTTTGAACATTCTAGCTCAATTAGAAAGAGAGTTATTGTGTCCCAAAAAGTGTGACGGACGGCCTTACGGACAGACAAATCCATTTTAATAGTCCCCTGCCTTTCGAAGAAAGGCAGGGGACAACAAAGTATTATACTGGATATTAAACCATTTCTTTCCATTTATATACATGTATTGGATTTCTTCAAAATATTATATGTCTGTACAACTCAGTAAATAATAATATCAATAATGTACACTTGTAGAGCACCAAATCAATCGAAAAGCATGCTCAAAGCACAATGGGAAATGGTTATATACACAGTGAACAGAAAGTCTAATTTTCACAGCATTCCCGAAATAAGTGTGTCTTCGGCTGTAGTCAAAGTTTCACTGTTTCGGATTTTCAGAGGTAAATCATACCACAATTTAGGAGCAACTATAAAAACACCACCATGGGAATAACATAACTTTTCCCAAATGATCTTTCTATACGAGTTCAAACCTGAATTTTCATGGATTTATATTTAACATGCAATTAGCTAGATAATGTCGAATGAATGCTCTTTGAAACAGTGTCTAAATATATTAGTCTGTTTTCCATAGCTATGTGTTATTCCACCAAAAGACTAATGTCATGAGATTGTATCCAAGTCGAAAAATAAAAATCTTCATTTGTGTCATCAGTCATAAAAGATTTGTAACAACTTTCAAAACAATTATACATCTTAAGTCTCTTAAGCAGAATAATTAGCTGACATTTCACAAAAAAGGTTAATTGAATCAATCTTTGATAATCAAGAAACAAAGATTGTAAAAGAGTCAACAAGATAACAGGTAACACGTTGGCTGTATATTGTTGCTTTAATCAAATGAAGGAAGTAGAAGAAAATCCAATAGTAAACATTGTCTGTTAGGCTGGTCGAGTTGCTACTATAGAGATCACACAACGTTTACTAGGAAAATAAACAACAATTTCACTGTTTGTCTAAAACTGACACAACGACATGTATCTTGCAGAAAACTACCTTTCACCACAACATTTTCATTTACCCTTGGAATCTTTTTTGTTTGGGTGAAAGATGCTTTCAAAGCTACAATATCTAACCTTAAAATCCATGTTCAAGGGCCTCTTTACAAATTGGCTTTTTATTGGACTTGCCCTACTACTGAAAACAGCAATCAACAATCCATTATACGTTATAATAAATGAATGTCAATATATATTCTGTACTGAGTTTAGAAATATGGACATTTTCCATCTATACAACAACCGGCCAATCAGGGTTGAATTTACAGTAATTATTGTTTACTTTTTTTTTTGCAGTAACTTGATATTTAGAATATCAAACATAGTTTATCATAATAAAAATATGTCAAATTACTTAAAAACAACAACAACAAAAAAACTCAATTAAAAACTGTATTTATCTATTTATTTTATAATATATTTACAAACTTATATTAAAATAAACTTTCAACATTAATTTACAAAAAGATATTTACAAGATATACCACAGATAATTTCCAAACAAGACAAACCAATTTCAAATTCTCTGGGGCAAAAACGGGGCAATATTTCTGGAAATAAAAGAAATAGTTTACTAAACATTACTTTTAACTATAATTTACTAAACATTTTAATATCTGTGCATCTTTGGCATGAGACTTTTCCCTCAAAACTTTGTGTGTTGATCGAGGACAAAAATTTATCCCATTTTGGAAAATAATGTTTTCAAATAAATATGTACTGGTAGTAATGACTAGTTACGAATATATTAGGGCTTTTTAAACACAAATCACAAACAAACTTTAAACCATTTGGAGAATATGACTCTAGTAGTTGACTAAATGACTTGAGTATTTACTAACATATATACTAGTACTGTTACCACCAAGATTCTGTATTGTACTTTTACTTTTTAACATCAAAATAGAAATAAACATTAAAGGAGCTATACCGCTTTAAGTAAAAGCAAAGTGATGAATTAGGTTGAACCCATCTGTTATTTCGATTATTGTTGAAAAGAGTGTCATAATTTCTATAAATTGTCCTAATATCCTTTTCAAATTATTTGCAATAAAATACGTTTAAACTTTTGTTTCTAAATATTAAGAGGGAATTAGCTTAATTTAGTTAAAATTTTTGCTGACAGTCGACGACAAACAGGATTAGATCTCATTTTAGGTCTGTAGAGCATATAACATCAAAGGAAGTCAATAATTTTATTTTGACCCAAATGAAAGATTCCAGTATTCAATTTCATACTTTAAAGTTACAAATTTACAATCTGTCTGCATTAAAAGAGAAAGAACTTTTTAATATTTGTGAAAAATAACAAGTACAATAGTTTTACCGGTATAGACAATTGTTCCAAGTTTTTTGTCAATCGTACTTGAATTGGCGGAGAATTAGGCTGTTTTCGAAAAGTGTCGCCGGCCAGAAAAAGAACAACAAGATAAGCAGTGCATTGATCCCAGTTCCTGAATCAAAACATATTAATCTGATGTGCTAATTAAATAAATTGGCAGGATATCCCTCTGAGATCTATAATTGGAAATAACAAATTCTGATAAAATTGAATTGCTCTACATAATACATGGTCGTACAATGGTCAGAGGCCTAACAGTAAAAAGTTATTTTGTAATTTCTTTTTAAAACCAATGAACAAGGTTCTGTAAATGTGATTTCTAAACGAAATAGCAAATTCTGTAATGGCCATGACAATACACCATATTTCTATATACCGGTAATAATATTAATATCATCGTTTATTGTATTACATATATAATCTTACTACCAGTAAATACATGTACATATGTATACTATCTACAACATATACCTAATATTTAATACAAAAACATCTGTTGTATATTCTAGAAACATGTTTTATTAATAGCATTTTATTTTCAAACTTTAAGTACAAGTGACATCTGTGCTTTTTTGATTTATAATGAGACATTATTTCCTGTCATGTGGTATAAATGAGTGCCATTTTTCTCCAAAAATAATTTTTTTTCTCCAAAAATAATTTTTTTTCTCCAGAGTCAAACTGTTTTAATTTGTGTAAGGCCTTTTCAATGGCCAGCTAAAGAAGAAAGGTACTTTAAAGGGACAATAACACTCTTGCTGGCTTGAAAGCTCCAGAAAATAAATAATATCTCTATCTAAGTACTAGATGTTTAAGTGTCCTACCTGTTGTGTAAATTATCCATTACATCCTATTTTACTTGTCCAGAGGGTTCGAAAATATTTTTAAATCGAAGTTTCATTTGAAAAGGTTTACGTTAGACATTTCAAACCATTATGTTGAATTTTTCAAAATTTTTAAATAAGGTGTGTTAAGATGAAATTTGTATCATCAATTAATTGAAATATTCTAAAATAGTACAATTTGTTGACCAGAATAAAGATTGGGACATATTATTCAGTTACAACAAGAGTGGTATTGAGCCTTTAAAGGAGATGGTTCACAGATTTCTATACATGGCTACTATAATCAATTTCTTAAAATTTTATTGTCACCTCCATTTAAACTGAACACTAAATTAAAGATTGAGTTAATAATATTACTGGTGGAATCAGAACTGACAACTGTCACTTGGAAAGGGTAGAAACAAGACTAACAGTTAATTTAAACACACGAAACAAACAAATTTGACCGATTTATACTAACAAAGGGTACATTTTTATTTGAATAATTTGCTTACACACAGGCTGTAGGGGTCTTTAGCCGTGGGAGGAAACCTGAAGTACTTGAAGAAACCAACAAGGTTAGGCCTGCAACCCTACTCTTTGATGCGTACAAACCAGGAATCGAAACCATGTCACTTGACTCAATGACAGACCTTATGAACCAAAGTGCATGCATTAGACAACACAACCTTCCGATCCAGATTCCATGTATCAGAACAAATATATGAACAATATAGCTTTCCCTGATTTATAATAAACATATCTCTTTGACTAACATAAATTCCAGTCTTTCAGTCTTATTGGAGGGCTATTTTTCAAATATTATATATTACCTTTCATTCACAAATAAATCTTTAATTATTAATACTCTAAATATTTATAGTGACACTTATATAAATGATAACTAAATGTAGACATAATCTTATTTCCCAGTTTTCCAAATAAATATTACATTAATCAGCCGATTACACTAAAGCTTGCTAATATTCAATCATTAAAATTCTATCAGGTTTAGATGTATGAATCTAAAACATTATGCTGCGTATGTAATATTGTAAAGATCCGTTAGGTGAGAGTGGTGCCACTGACTTTTACTAAGGTATATCCTTTTTAAGGTATATGCTACTTAAGGCATATGCCTCTGAGCGATCATAGATACCTGTATCTCCTAATCAAGAAAATTATGGTCTGAAATGCACAAATATCAAAAGAGACTGAGATCTTTTGGTTATAAACATATGTTTTAAGTTTCATCAAAATTGGATAAAAATTGTGACCTCTAGAGGGTCCACAACCTTCGTATTACATACTTTTACACAATTTGCGTACAAAGAACGGCCATTTTGTCAGGCAGTTTCATTTCGATTTTCACAAAATTCGAATTTAACCGTCATTATGGTGGAATGGTGATATATTTAAATCGTTTTTAAAATCGGAAAAAAATTGTAACCTCTAGAGAATTCACAAGCTAAAAATGCGATTTTTCGTACAATCAGGGGCCATAATAATACATCCACATGAAATTGTGGGCGTATAAAAATTACACTTATCGAAACGTCATGTATGTGTATAATAAACCAGTGGTTGCTGTCCCATATAACTGTGTTAGTTGTGTTATGATTCCAATCATTAAATGTTACTAAAGGATTCCAATCATTAAATGTTACTAAAGGATTATGTTCAACAAAATGTATTTTTACATAAATAACATTACCAATTTTACATTATTATTACCAAAACAACACCTCAGCACCGATCATATTCAATTAAATCATTACTGTAACCATTTTCCCCTAATGTAGAGTGATGATTCTAGGCATGTAAAAACTCTACCTCTCTGGTACAGGTTATTATATATATATATAGTTTATCATGCAATTCACAGGTTAAAAATCTTCACGAAGGAAGTCTTGTACAAACAATTACACCTAATGCCCTCCCAGAGTTGTGACTTCAACTAAAGGTGATTTTAAAATTCATACTAACAAAATGGAATAATAATTACATATACTGATCCTAACATAGCTTCAATACATCTACATCAATAATTTTGTATTCTATATCATGTCGTATACAAGTACATAGTTTAAGATCTGAAGCAATTTTTTTAGAATAATAAATTTTCGTTTAAAAATAGGATTCGTTAAATAAAAGTGATGATTAATTTAGTGAGAAAACAAAGAACATCTATATTGTACAGTTTATACGGCATTTAGAAACTGAACACTTAATTCTTTTAAAACCTTCTTCACCCTTTCTCGTGCTATTATTTTTATTGTATTCTAAAATGATATTTTCCTCTTTATTAAACACAATCATAAAGTCTACCTTATATAGATAATCTGATATATGACCTAGTGTGATTCCGATGTCTGGGGCGGATTTATTGATTCTTCAGGGAAATCAAGTATAACACGGTTTGCTTGTCTAAAATACTGCTGTTGTCTATAATATATCTTTAAGACACCTTTAATTGCTATAAATGCTATTCCACCCTGAAACATAGAAAGAAAGAAAAAATCTTATACAATTCCGGGAAAATATATAGTCTGAACATTCAGACCAATCATTATGCCTGAATGGTTTGTTTATATCAAATAATTGAAAAACCAAAATACATTGTGTCTAAATGGTTTAAATAATTGAAATACCAACAATTTTGTTTTATTACTAAATTAAATGTCTTTTTACAGTGTAACTCTACAGATATGAAAGTGCAACACCATTTTCTAAGCTATGTCATTATGTAAATTGACAAAAGCAGCATTATTATGTGTCCTATGCTAGGACTCTTTATCTTTACTTCCCCACTCCAAATATGATTTAAATTTTTTTCAAATTTTTGGCAGGTATATATGGGGAGATTTAAAATTTGTGTCTGATTATATGTCATTGCTTATATTCAAGGTGTTCCTGTCAACAGTTTCCCATACTATATTAAACTGTGAAAGAAACAAAAACTCTTATGTATTTGCAAGCCAATACAACAATTAACTATTCTGTATCCTTTAGTTATGCAACTTTCACGAATACCTCTGATCAAATATTGCAAAGAAGATGTGCATCACTGTCTTTCACTGGCCTATAAGGATATTGGTTGTTGACGGACTTGACCACACCAAAATATGACTTACTAGTAAAGTTCTCTGAAAATTTGACTGTACAGAACCAAACATTAATTTTCCTACAATAGTAGCAATAGTTGGTAGAATTAAAGCACCACATAACACTCTAGTAGCACATATTGGATCAGATAGAGGTACTGTATCTGCTGGTACACGAGTGTAACGTGAAAATTCTGAAAAATAAAAAAAAAAAACATGTTAATTCATTCAATTCAAGATTAAGAAACATATGTTCGGTGTACTTTAATGTTCTTGATCGTAAGTGCTTTCTTCAATTTTTTTCTGATGCCATATGCAACACCCTAAACATCTTGAATGAATAGTCCATCTGATTTTCAGTATTACTATAAACTTACTGACAATCACAATGAAACGGTGGAATAAAAAGACTTTATGCAAAGTATCTTTTATGTAGGGTTAAAATCAATCTGATTAAAATATAGATCTATATTTCGTTTGTTTTTTTATAGTTTCGATGGCCTACACTTTATGAAGATCTGACCGTTTGTAATGAAAGGTCGCATCATAGGTCTAGTGGTTTACCCACAGTTCCGTGCATTGTACATCAAGAAGTCGCCGTAACAGATGGTTTCATTGGCTAATCCTTCACGCTATCCAGAATGCAGGTTATATAACAACTCTTCCGATCCAGATCCTAGTGTAGTACTGACAAATAAAACAAAAAATTTAACTATAAAAAACGAAACGAAATAGGATGTGTGATTTAAACAGATTGGGTTAAAATACAGATTCTGAAATATTTCTACATTTTCTAAAAGGATTATCTCCCCTATACCACACTCAGTTTCAGATCGGATAGCTGCACTCAAGAAAAAACATATTCAATAATATTTTTGGTACCATATTCACACAATACGTCATAAAGAGAACTAAAATTATGTAATATATGTAATCTATGATTTACATAACAATTTGATAGTCATGAATTATCTGTATACAGATGAGTTTGTTCTCAAACATGTCATTTCAAAGGTTAATAGTATATTTCTACTGTGTGATCAAAGTTATTCTCCATCAAAGCTTAAAACAATGTTAATTAAACTGGTCTTGCATCCAGCTCTAAAACTTTTGTTATATGCCCACATTTTCATGTGGACGTATAATGCCGTTGGCCCTGTACGTCCATCTACAATTTCTTTGTGGACACTCTACAGGTCACAATTTTTATCCAATTTCCCAAAGATCACAGTTCCTGACGATATTCGTAACTTCCTTAATTATGGCGCCTGATTGGACAAAATATCGCGTTTTTAGCTTGTGATCCCTCTCGAGGTCACAATTATTATCTGATTTAAAAAAACGTTCAAATATATCACCATTACACAGTAATGTCAGTTAAGTTCAAATTACGTGAAAATTGGACCAAAACTGCCCGACAAAAAGGCTGCCCTCGTACGCAAATAGTGTAAAAATATGGTATATCAAGGTTGTGGCCCCTCTAGAGGCCACAATTTTGATCCGGTTTTGATGAAACTTTAAATTTATGTTTTATCACAAAGATCTTGGTTCCTGACGATAATGGCATGTATCCGCACGTAATTTCCTAGATTTTTAGCTTATGGACCCTCTAGAGGTCACCATTTTAATCTGATTTAAAAAACTTTTAAATGTATTACCGTTACACCCTAATGACTGTAGAGATCGAATTTCATGGAAAAGTATGTAATACCAAGGTTTCGATATTCGCGCATATCAGACTGTAACTTCATGGATTATGACCCATGATTGTACAAAAAATCATGTTTTTAGCTTGTGGAACCTCTAGAGGTCACAATTTTTATCCGATTTTAAAAACCGTTGAGTGGTTGAGTTTGATTTTCGTAAAAATCAGTTCGAATGTGCCCAACAAAATGGCCACTCCTTGTATGCAAATAGTGTAAAAGTAAGTAATACCAAGGTTGTGGACCCTCTAGAGGTCACAATTTTTATCTGATTTTGATGAAACTTAAAATATGTTTATATCCCAAAGATCCAGGGTCCTGGTTTATGGCCCCTGATTGTACGAGAAATCGCTTCTTTTTTTTAGCTCGTCTCTATTTCTTGCAAATTGTTGGCTTAACTTGCATGGCAGGCGCTTGTTTATATCTTGGAAATAATGAGTTTGCATGCAAGCTGTCAATCAGCTACGAATGTCGATTGATTTTAGTAACAGAAATCAAACTCACTGATCAAATTACAGATCTAGTCTTAAGCCATATATATATATTTATATATATACACAGAAAACAAGCAAATAAGTTATGAATGAAAGCTGTTTTATGAAACAACACAAATGACTTGTAAGAGTATAAAAAAAATGAATAAATATTATACTTCAGACATCCATTCAATACCACCATTTTAATTCTTTGCTGCTTTGTTGTATTATAGACTCATCTTTGGGTGCAACAACAATAAGTGAGGATAATCTGAGCTATTTGATAATTTGAATTTTTCTGATTTTAAAACTTAGTTAAAATGGTTTTCTAGAGTGCAACATAGTTAACAGGAATCTATAACTTCTGACATTCTCTTCATTCTCCTGTGTATAAAGAACAGCTTTTGGTGTCACTGTCACATTATTCGGATATAGAAATGTCTATGAGTTACCATTGTTAGTGCTATCAAATATTTAGGATTTAAATATTTAAATCATTTTGTAAATATTATGTGAACTCTTTAGCTAATACAACTGTAAACACAAGTTCAAAAAGTTGAAATGACCCACCGCACAAACTGTTCGTTAAACATATTTAACAAGTGCAAAAAAAGGGAATTTAAATCAATATAACCTAACCTAGGAAATAAAGCATACTTGTATCACATAAACATGTTAAAAGTCACATCACTATCATTCCATAAGGTGAAATAAAATTCACATCAGCTGACAATAAGAAGCAATTATACTTTTTAATCTTAAACCTGTTACACCTTAATGTTAAATATACCATAGGCTGAAGTGAATGAGTTATAAGACATTGTTAAACATTAAATTTTTATATCAAGTATTTAATTAAGGAAGGAAATAAATGAGTTAAATCTGAACATCCTTTCATCAAAAATACTTTATTTCTGGACTGATCTAAAATAATTTGTTTGTGTGCAGGACTCATTAATAGCAAGGTGAAACACAATATGGTATTTGTAATATTATTTTCTAAAAACCTGTAGTTTTGTAATTCAAAAAGATAAGCATTCATGTATTATGTAAATGAATTTCCCTTATAATAATGCTGTATGTAACTTTACTATCATTTTGTCACACCACTTAATAATACTTTGAGAAAAATCCCCGCTTAACAGACAGATTTTAAGTAAAAATGAGAGGTGGTTCATTTTTATAATATTTTTCTTTATATTATCTAATTTGCTATGTCCTGTTCTTTTGTTTTTTCTTTACAGCATCTTTATTTTTGGTGCATTCATGCCCTGTTTGTTTTTTTTTTCTTTATAGCATCTAATTTTTTGTGTATTCGTGTCCTGTTTAATTATTTCTTTATAGCATTTAATTTTTAGTGTATTCATGTCTTTTTTTTTTTTTTTTTTACAGCATGTTTTTTTTCAAGCGTGTTCTCATGTTGTATTATTGTAAACCACACAACTCTGTAAAAACATAGATAAGTTCATTACAGAAATCAAAAAGTAGATGAAATTATTGACTTTATATCTTTTTTCTGTGTAATAGCAGGTTACATGAACATGTACAATAATCAATATATATGAACGCAATATAAATTATAAATAGTCTCTCTGTACTAAACAAAACATAAATAGCTTCTATTGTAACTGATAATTGAAATACCCTGTAACTTTAAATAATGCTGTTCAACTATCCAATATTTTGATTTGTTCTATAATCAACTGCTAAATTATCTCAATCTTCTATTAATTTATTTGATACTGTCATTTCAGACCTGAATCATAGGCTTAGTTTTCAGCTTAACACTTTTGATTTATAATTCTGTATTACCATAAAACTGATGAAAACCAGGTTTAACAAATTATTTGGCATTTCAAGAGAAACTTATATGGTAATTCCTTATTTCAATAATTCTGTGAATTGGGATGGTTTCAGCAAGTGTATAGGGACAGCATAGCATCAAACCACACCATGGGACTCTGGGTTATGTTATTCATATGGGGGAAAGATGAACATCACAAGAGGATCTTTAAAATCAAACTCTGAGCATCACTTACAATATATGCTGAGGAGAAGATTTAAAGTTGTGACTAATCTAAATGATCTATTTTTTTAGTTATTCGGATGGTATGATTTCTTAATAAACTTTCAGATTTTAAAAGCCACATAACTAATATTGGTGTATTTCAGGAAATAATAATTTGTGTCATTACTATGCTGTTTAAATAACAGGAATTGTGTTAAATGTTAGTTTCAGACTAGAGTTATAAACTATTTCAATTGGTATAAATTCTATAATATTATCAAGGGTAAAAGTCAAGTATCCCCTGCTACATTGATTTTTACTACAAAAAATGGCGTGTGTATTCTTTAACAGTCAAGTACTGTAGTTTATTTAGTAACTGAAACATAATCTCTGGCATAGATCAGGGAAGAAATAACTTTGATCATAGAATCAATTCCAGGAGAGGGTGACCCTAATCCTGGTCACACACAAATGTTTGACTGACCTCATCAATGACAAATTTGATGACTTACTGCTCATGCAGTAGACCACTCTCCCATTCATCAACAATTTGCAATGTATAGATAGATGCAAATATGGTGATACATGTATGGTTGTGTGGCTAAAATAACTGCAAAGATATTTTTTAATTTTTATTCTTTAAAAAATGTATATGGATTCTTAAGCACTTTAACAGACAAACTAAATTATTTGGGTTTTATGCTAGTATGGTACCATTACAAAGCTCACAGATCCTAATACAGTTGGCAAAATAGTCACTTGTCTGACAAATAAATAAACAAGCCATTGAAGAATGGAATTCTAATTAGTAGTGGTACCTTTTCAGATGGTTGAGTAAGTTACCCATGTATGCCATACATTTTTAGATGATTGGGTAAGATACACACGCATGACATACCTTTTCAGATGATTGAGTAAATTACCCTTGTATGCCATAATTTTTAGATGGTTGGGTAAGATACAGACAGATGCCATACTTTTTTTTAGATGGTTGAGTAAGCTACCCA